TAGAACATTTAATTCAGCCAATAAAAATGATTGTGGCCCTTTATATTTCATATTATATTTTTTTATTATTAGTTATAGGTATCTTCTTATTAAAAATAATCTTGTTTGATATATTATCAGGTACTGAATATTGACACTTCTCCTAACATAAATTCAAATTTTGGTTCGTCACACCGGTGATTAACGTTTTCTACTAAACTAAACCTATGTTATTATATTCTGTTTTATTTTACACATCAAACCCATAAAAAATTGCAAGTTTAAAATTGTACGCTATAAGTATTACAAAATAATATTATAACTGAAACACTCCCAATAGGCTAATACCGTAAAGACGCACGGTGAGCCGTGAAGTTTCCAACACATCAACGAAATATAGGGCTAATTAGTCCATTCCAATTATTTCCTGGCAAAAGAAAATCCAATTTTATTAATTAATACTTCTCCAACTCTAAATAACAACCTCATTTTATAGTATAAATTATACTATTCCTCCGTTCTTTAATATAAGACCCATTTAACTAATTAGATTAAATTAAGGAAGTTAGGTAAGTTAGTTAATTATAAGAAAAGTAACACATTTTTCCTAAAACACCATCATCATCTTTCTTAATATCTCATCTCCCTCTTCTATTTGATTATGGTTGAGGGAGTATCCATAGGGATAATTTAGAGAAAACTGATAAATATAACAAATGGGTTTTATATTTAGAATCAAAACGCACTCAAAAATTAAATCCTATATTAAGGACCGGAGGAGTATAAAATAAGGTTTATATTTAGAACTATTTTTTTGGATCAAGAGGATTATTAGTTAATTGCATAAAGTTACTGATATGTAAATTATATTTTCGGTTCACATTCTAAATTATAATTTTGACATTGCAAAGAGGCCCCGTGATCCCAGGTTCCCGGCACAAAAAAGGCTTTAACGGGTATTAGTCTCTCTCTCTCTCTATATATATATATATATGTATGTATATATATCAACGTGAATGTATGATCATTTTTACGGGCTGTAATAAATTTTTCACACACACGAGTTAATAATAGGTTGAAGGGTGTTATTGACTTTTCACTGCTGCCATGTGGTTCGAGAAGGCGCACATTAACAGCCGTACAGCAGTTGGCTGAGGATCCTCAGACTCACCAGAGGAGCGTCGTTCTTACGCGCAACTTGTTGGCTCTTTTCTTCGTTCTTTTTTAAATTATACTTGTCCCATCCTTAATAAAAAAAGATCTAATTATTAAGTTTATTTTTATTTTAAATATAAAATATATTTTTATATTTATTATTTTTTAAAATTATTTTATAGATATTTTCTCAATCATTATTACGTATGAAATAGAAAGATATTAAGAAAATTGATTATAGTATTTTAAGAAAAAATATCACATTTTTTATAATTAATTAACTTACTTATTTTCAAATTAGTTAAATAATTCTTATATTAAAGATCAAAGTAGCAAATGTTGGATCCCTGTAACACTCCATACTTTTCGTTTATATATATAGCTCAAACAAAATTAAAAAAATTCCAGGTGAAAAGAATTAAAAATTCAAAAAAGCAAAACAAATATTCTTGCATTCCGAATTTAGGGAGAAAACAATAAAATAGTACTCATCATGTTTTTTAGTGTGGATCTAATTAGAGAATTGATGTTAGTATTATATACAAGACTTACTACCTCGATCTTTAATATAGGAGTTAGATAACTAATTAAAAAGATTAAAAAATTAGTTAATTTAATTATCTCTAATAAATATGTGCTGACTTTCCTAAATTGTTCTATTGAATTATATGCACTGAAACTATCTCTAGGTGGGAGCCCTTACAATCAAGGGGAATATATTAGTGAAAAAATGATAAATTAAGAAGACAATATAGATTTAGGTTTTATATTTAGAACTAAATTTAATCCTCAAATCTGTCCAATGGGTTAAAAATTAAAATTGAGATAATTTAAATCGGTCATCACTAACCACGTCTCAGTTTTCTTTACCTTACGAAAATTAGTTAAATAATTACACTACTTTTTTGGATAACGAAAATTACAATATTTTTTTGTAATAAAATAGTTAAATAATTAATTTAGAGATATTAAAAAAATTAGTTAAGTTAGTTATATATAATCAATATGAGAGACAAAATAAATTGAGATATTATATTTATAATTAAATTAAATTTATCAACTAGTTTTTATATTAATAATCAGGCGTAATATATAACAACAAGTATTTTAAATAATATATCATTCATTCGATACAACAAATAAAAGCAGAATAAACATTTATTTTCTAATAAGAATACAGATTTGTCAATAGTATTTAAATTGAGGCGAAGAAATCCCAATTGTCAAAGTAAAGTACTAAAGTTGATGGCAATTTCTTCAGTGTCTGTTGGGATGAAGACTTGATGATAAATATTGCAAGTCTTATTGTAGTGTCGGCCCAGGAAAAGACTTCACACCTCAAGTTCTAGATGATTTCGTTAAATTAGGAGTGGGTGGTTCAATCTTACAGGATGGTAAAAGTGGATGTGGAGTTGCTATTTGGAGCAGTTATGACCAATGGTTAGTAGGATTCAGCTGTAAGCTTACCTCTGTATGGTCTATTCCTTTATTGGGACAGAGGCTACCAAAATATAGAAGCCTTGTTCATATTAGGTAGAGGATGTGAATGGACGCATCCTTTCAAGGATATATTACTGATGATGTTGGATTCTTGCTTCACAAGGATTAGAAGGTTATACCAATTCATATTTTTAGGGAGGAGTCAATTTCTACTGCTGATTATCTAGCTAAACTCTCTCTCTCTATGAAAAGCAGCTTTTCTATCCTAAATCAACCGCCTCATATTGTGAAAGGGGAGGTTGTGAGAAGAAACTAGATCTTGTTTTGTACGTAGTGATGCTATTTTATAAGGAACCCCCTCTTTGATTTAAAAAACAGAAGTACTAAAGTTTCAGACATTGTTCGTGCCAAAGACATTGGTCGTACAGAAAAGGTAATATATATACAAAATTATCAAGTCCATATATACAATAAAAATATTAAAAGTTTAATTAATTAAAATTGTTTGTATACTCCTCTGGTTTTTAATATAAGACCCAATTGTTGAGTTGATTTTGGTCCTAAATATAAGACATGTTTCTCATATTTATCAATTTTTTCTAAATTACCCCTATGGATGCTCCTTCAACCATAATCAAATGGAAGAGGGAGGGAGGATATTAAGAAAGATGATTACGGTGTTTTAGTAAAAACATGTCATATTTCTTATAATGAACTAACTTATCTAACTTTTTTAATCTAATCAAATTAGTTAAATAGGTCTTATATTAAAAATCGAAGGAGTATATTATAATAACAATAACAAGTGTTCCGGCAAAACAATTAACGAGTATAATTTTTATGTACATTTGGAACTGAATGAATTGAATCATTGCATGTCAATATCAATATACAAACATATATACTACAGTAACTTTGTTTTTATGCCGCTACAATCAGTTTGTCTGTTTATCGCAAATATTTTTTTCTTTTACTAACTTATATACAAACATGTATGATTTAATTTAAGTATAATGAAATTTTAATTAATTAAAATTACGCCTACATATAATATACATACAGACATATATACACACACAGACACACATATTATAATAACCCCTGTAATTTTTTGGCAAGTAATCAGTATGATTTTATACACACTGAAACTGGGTTAATAAGTGATCACATCTTCCACTCAGGATACTCTAGTCAACTTAGAAAAGTTTGGGGGCATTGTGAAAACATGTTTTTTCTACACAAAAAGTTTGCATCATTATTCATTAATTAGTTCTAAAAACATAACACTCTTTATAGTAATCGCTTACAAAATATAATTCCTTTTGGAGTAAATAAACCCAACTAAACGCATGAATTAGTCACTTGTGTTAATTACATGCAATTCTTTCTCATTGAATCGAACCAAACGAGCTATTAATATTCATCAGTGCTTTAAACAGGCTTTTAATAAGAAAAATAATGAGTTTAATAAAATAAATTTGGGTTAATACTACCTCCAGTCCTAATTATAAAACCCAGTTGACTAATTTGAAGAGATTAATGAAGTAAGTTAAGTTAGTTATTTGTAATAAATAAGTGTTGTCATTCTTAAAATATCCTTATTAATTAAGTGTATTGGCTAAAACTATCACTATTAGAAGGACTATCTTAGAAAAAAATACATAAATATGAGAGACAAAATGGATTGAGGTCTTATAATTAGGACAAAACTAAAAGTTAAACAGGGTTTTATATTAAAGACAGGAGGTAGTATAATTTTTCACCCTTTAAATTTTTACGAATTTTAGTTTTATTCCTTTAAATTTTAAATTATAGCTTTTAGTTCCTCGTAGGTCAAAATAGTCCAAATTTTTATTAAATAATAGAAACTAATGTTTTAAAGACTTATATTTTAAAATTTAAGAGATCAAAATTAAAATAACTACAACCTTAAATGGCCAAATTTCTTATGAAAAAGACGAGAGAGAGTAGAGGATAAAAATTTGAATAATTGTTTTTTTGGCGAAAAAGCCGAGAGTCTCGTAGGATCTTTGACCGTGGCGCGTGAAGGAAACGGGAAATGATAAAATAACAAAAATTCTCAAGAGACAACACACAGTCACAACTCACAAGGAAAAAAAGATCATGAGAACTGAGAAGAGTGAATCGGAGCGGTGTCACTGATCAGCATTTTCTGATGTATATATGTGTGCGATCACGTTCCTCACTCGCCTCAATCCCTCACTATACCATACTCTTCTTACCTGTCTGCCTCTCTGTCCTCTCTCTCTCTTCTCTCTCTCCTTCCTCATTTCCTCTTCTTATTTAATTCCCCCTTCTTCCCTCTCCCTATTGACCGTTCTCATACTCTCATCTTCCAACGCGCACACTGGTCCTATACCTGTCTGCTGGATCCATCGCCGATTCGATTTCTTCATCGGAGAACAATGCCGGAGGTGGCCCTCAATGCTGCTGCTAATTCCAACTCCAACGCCGGCGTTATTGGTCAGTTCGGTGATACCACCCTCACCAAAGTGTTTGTTGGAGGATTGGCTTGGGAGACTCCCAAGGACGCTATGAGAGAGCATTTCCAGAAGTACGGCGAGATCCTCGAGGCTGTCATTATCTCTGATAAGGCTACCGGCAGATCCAAGGGCTATGGCTTCGTAAGTTTAATTTGGTTTGTTTTCACTTTTCATTATTTCAATTCATGGTGGATCCTGATCGATGTTGAGGATTATTATCACTTATTGTTAGTAGTTCACTTCACTTCGATTTAATTGCTAGCTTCTTGATTTTCTTGATGATGATGAATCTGTGTTTCTGAGATTGATGCTGTTGATGTAGGTGACCTTTAAGGAAGCTGAAGCTGCGAAGAAGGCTTGTGAGGATCCTACGCCGGTCATCAATGGCCGCCGAGCCAACTGCAATCTGGCTTCGCTCGGCGCGCGACGCCCTAGGTCCACCAACACTTCACCGCCTCGTCAACAAGGTAAGCTTGTTTGCTTGCTACTTCACTTTGAGAGTATCGGAGAGACTCCGGACTGGAAATAATAGACGACGCTTTTTGTAAATTAGGAGATACCTTTTGGACTGGTTGGTCATTTCCTGTCTATTTTTTCCTTTTTTCCTGTTGACTACCACTATAATATTTTCCTGTGCTGCATTTTATGGGACAGTATGTTTATTTTGCTACGAAGACTTTTAATTTGATTCATTATAATTTGTTTCTCATTTTTATTCTAATTTCCTTCCTTTTTAATAAAATGCAATGACAATCCCAACAGCTAGAAAATTTAGAAGTTATATTAGTATTCATTGTAGTGTTCTGCTTTTTTTTTTGGCCCATCAATTCATACTAGGATTCAATTAGCTAAGCACATTATTAAATTTATAATAAAAAAACATTATTAAAACTATTTCACTCACTTAAAAGGTGAAATAAAATATATTTTGCTTAAGAATTAAATTAAAAGTTTTGACTAATCAGGATTGGGTTTAGTGGAAGGGGATAGTCGTTCACAACGTGACAAACTAAGAGTTGAATCCGCTCTAAAAAAAAGTATTTATATTTAGTATTTGATAGTGTCTTAAAAAGGATTGTCTTCAACAGAAAGATATTTATATTTAAAAAAAAATTAAAAGTTTTGACTATGAAATGCTATTGTTAGAAACAAAAATGAAAAAAAAGATGAGGTTAGATGGATTTTTTTCCCCCTCTTTTACAAAGATGGTATCGTTGTAATTGTGGTCATCATGGAGGTCTGAAATTGTGTTGTTATCAACGAAGCATCGAATGGCGGAGGACCAGGGGCCTCCCAAAATGCACCACCCCCGCCAGCCAATCACGGCCCGTGGTATTATCCGGTGGGGACACCTGCTTCACATTTCCATCATCACCACCATCAACCTGTTCCTCTATATGGGTATATTTTAAATTTTTATGGTTCCTTTCTTTTCCTTCAAAAATTAAACATGTAATTCTGTAATTATTCCACACTCACCAAACAAATTTCATATTTTACCCCATTTCATTTCCAGGTACACCCCAACGTACATTCCAACTGACATAAATTACAATCAGGTATGGTATATTTTGCTATTGTTCATTTTGATTTTACAAAAGAGAAAACTATATTGGAGGTATTTATACTTTTTTTCAATTTTCAATTTGGTACCTATGTGTTTTTTGTTCTTAACTAAATCTTTATTTTTCCTCTATTAACATCATTAATCCTTATGTAGAGACTAAAAATATCAATAGAACAAAGTTATAAGAGCTAATGTTGCTAAAAAGATAAAATTAAATGTTTAATTAAAGGAAAAAAAACACATAGGTACCAAATTAAAAATTGAGAGAAAGTATAGGTACCTTCAATATGGTTTTCCCTTTACATAATTCGAAAAGTGTTTTTATAGCTGGATAGGAATTATGTTAATATAAATTTTTGTTGGAATACTTCTTTTCAATATCAAGCCTTGTTACACAGTTTGGCAATTAAAAATTATATGAGCACCCCTCACACATGGGTGTGGAGTACCATTTGGTGGTTTTGCAGTGTGCCCACATGGAGAGAGAATCAGTGTGTCATGCTATTAAAGTTTAACCATATTATCTGTACTTAGTTGTTTTAATTCTAAAGTGTGCAATTTTTTTTTTAAAAATAAAAATATAATAATTAGTTATTGTATTTATAGAATGTTCTGTTACTGAGATTTACTTGAGTACGGTGATGGTGTACAGAAGCTAGGCTACACTGGCGGTGGGCCCTACATGAATGGTTACTACTCCCCACTGTACCCCAGCCAGGCTATGGTGGGTGGGAACACATTGATGCCGATGTACCCTCTTTATCAGTACCATCAAACGCACACGATGGGCCTGCCTGCTCACATATTCCAGCCACCCACAGCGGGGCACGTGGCCATCATGTCAAAGCCCGCGTCCATCACTCCTAACACAGGTGCGTCACATGGTAACATGCCCACCCCCAACCCCAGTCAATGTCTGTACGCAGCAACACGAATCATTGTGGTCACGTGACCCTGTGATCGTGATTGGGCTCGGTTCGTTTGCATTACGCCCCATAGGACGGATGTGTCACCCCCCACGTGATCTCAAATTACCATATCACCCCTCCCTTGACTCACCAATCAGATTTTTTCATTTTCCCCCCCTTTCAATCCTCACCTGAATTATCACCCATTAAAGATTAAGTATTAATGGGCACACTACCACAAGTATAACCAACTACACTAGAGAGGCCCTCATGCATGTATATAATATGAAAATTCTAACAAACTTGACCGTTCATAGTTTATGATAAATAATGCAAAGCATGCAAGACCCACATTTGTTAAAAAACTAATTGTATTTAGATTTAATAATAATATATCATAATATTTTGCATATAATTAGACAAACCATTCAGAATGAAGAAAAGAGACGAAGTTGGGAAATTAAAGACTGATATTAAAGAGACAGTTTGTTTGGGTGTGGAATAGGTGAAAGCTTGAAAAAGGTTGGCTGAAGGAAAGGTGCAGGGCAGTGCATTGCACAGTTGGCAAATAACTAAAGGGAGAGGAAGGTGGTGGGTGCACAGAGCAACATTATTATCTCATCTGTTGTGTCTCTAGCTACTCTCCAGTTCTTTTTTTTGCTTCTTTTTTTTAATTTATTTATGTATTGTTTCAATTTTTAATTCTTAATCTTAATCTTAATTAGGTGTTGTCATTGATGAGATTCTTTCATTCTCCCTCCGTCTCTCTCTAACATCTCAGCATGAGCTGTGAACTTTTAGACTGATCTGAACTGTTGATGAGCTAAAGATATGAACGTTGTGATCCAACTCATACTTGTTTGCTTTCCGTTTTTATTTGTATAAATTTCCGAAAGAGTTGGATAAAAAGAATATTGAGGCGTTTATTATTAAGAGAATCTCATATATTTTATTCTAGTATACAATACTCTGGCCATTTAAGTATGATGGCTTAAGTTCAAATCTGTGTGAACACAGAAAATGCCTTTAAGAGGTTACTCTTAATTGGATTTGACAATACTCCAGTCTGATTCAATTAGATAAGCATATAAACAGAATCTTTTATATATATATATATATATATATGAAAAGTATTGAATAAACAGGGATGATGAAAATTCTCACGCTTCCATTTGGTGTTTTTCAATTAGCCGTTCATTGTGGCTTTTTATTGACTCTCTTTTAATTATTTGACTTTTGCTTCATTTGTTTTGCCCCTCACTTTTGCTTCACAGAACACTGGAACGTAATATGCGTGTATGTCTATATATTCATATATGTCTTTGTGGAACGTACCACGTTTTGGCAAACTTGCATTGAAATCTATGAAGTGTCGCAAACACTGATCCAGCAAACTAGCGCTTATTTCTCTCTTCTGATTTTTCTACTTACCTTTCAGCCATAGTTTGATCGGAGGCAACATGTATTGACAATACTATTTCTATGCCTTTGTATAAGAAATAAATTATATATAAATCTTAATTTTATTCCTTTTAAAAGGGATCATTTGGTTTATAGAAAAAAATTAAATTGAAAAAAGGGAAATTGAATGAAAAAAATGATAACTTCGATGTAAAATATCATGTGTCTCCAATTAAAAAAAATGTTGATAAGTCATGATTAACAAATATACTCCTCTAATAGTAAATGTAACCACTAGTTAGGGAGTTAATTTTAGTTTAAAGGGATGTTTGGGTGGAAACCAAATTTTAATTTTAAAAATAATTTTACGGTATATGAAATAACTATGTGAGAAAAATTTTACCTTAATTTGTACGAAAGCATCTTTTAAAAGTGTTTTTTGATTTAACCAAACACCTCCTAAATATAATACTTTGATTCATTTCATTGCTCATAATTATAATTTTTCTTCAAATTAGTATTTATTTAACTCATAAGCTATATAACATATAATCTGATGTTATAAGCATCTTTTAAAAGTGCTTTCCCAAAGATATTTTTGGGAAAGGTAATATTACCTCTAATTTTTAATATAATAGCTAATAAACATGTTGAATTTGTTCCTAAATATAATACCACAGTCCATTCTGTCTTTTAAATTTATAATTATTTCCTAAAATATGTTTATTGAATGTACATCTAAGGGAATTCTCATCAATGAGTAATTCCAATGCATATGATTAAATAAGATGGTTTAGAAAAGTAAACACACATTTGTTACAAATAACCATCTCAACTGATTTTCTTAATAACCAAAAATTAGTTATTTATCTTATATTAAGGATTGGAGACAGCATTTGTTATAATTAAGTAGTTTATTTAGTTTATTTAATCTATCCAAATTAATTAAAAGATCTTTATATTAAGCATCAGATAAGAGTGACAGATATTCCGCACATTAGTTATTGTATTATGGAAACATCATTGTATTATTATAAAAAGCGGAAATTTTGTGTTTTTTTTTGGGGGGGAAATTCTTAAAAGAAAGTCTGAACATATGAAATTCTAATTTAGACAGTTAATAGTTGAAAATGACAGGAAAGGAAGTGAGACATAAACTAGCATTTTGAAAATGTTGTGAAATTACTCATTTGCCCTTTTGTGATAAAACACATTTTCGATTCAATACTTGTTATTGTTAGTTCAACATTTGTTGTTTCTAGTCTACAACTTGTAATTAACTAACTAACTAACTAAAATAATGGAGAACAATAAAAGTTATAAAACTTGTAATTTTCAATTCAATATTTGTCATTGTCAATTCAACACTTGTTATTTTTAGTTCACAACTTGTTAATTAACTAACTAAAATAATGGAGAATAAAAAAAGTTTGGAAAATTGTCATTTTAATTTTAATACTTGACAATTCAACACTTGCTATTTCCAGTTTTATTAATGTCATTTTTGTCATAGAAGGGCATATAAGTAATTTCACAATATTTTAAAATTTAGGCCTCACTTCCTTCCTTGTCATTTTCAAGTGTTATATGCCTGAATTGGAATTTATATATCCGACTTTTTCAGAAACTTTCTCTTATTTTTTATATGTATGAACAAAAGGAAACATTCATATTAAATTTTCAAATTTTACTAATTACACTTGAATATTTTGAAGCACAGAATCAATTCCGGTTGATTCATTATAGATTGTTTGTTTTCCTAAACTAAATAATGCAACTTGTTCATTAACAATTCCTTAAACAGGTGGCAGAGACTTACCAGCCTGCACATCCAACTTTACAGCATGAGTGATATATTTGTAGTATGGGGCACATTATTATGCTGTCAATGCGTCCAAGGAAAAAAAAAAAGTATGTTAAGAATTACCCTTTCATGTGATTTTTTGTACCTTTTTCTTTTAAAAAAATTTAATAAGTAAAAAATTAATTATATGTCAGTTAAATTTACATTGGCATGGGTTTAATTTTTTTCCTAAAGAAAAAGTCGTTGGTATCTATTATGGGATAAGTGACTTTTTCTGGTTGTTAACAGTTTTATGTTTTGCCTTCATCAATAAGTCATCCTGGCAATAATACAGGAATGGAATCACACATGCCGCCCAAAAATCATTATTCTACGCACAATAATTTGGTAACAAGCTTTGTTTCAGTGCACACATCTATGATCTGTCTATGCATAATATAAAAATTTATTAAAAAATTGTACTAAAATAAAATCATACTATTGAAGCTACGAAAATTGAAAATTCTTTTAGGTTTCATATAAAACACAAGTCCCATTTCGGAATAAGATTTAGTGTTTATTATAGCGATGAGCATCCTGTTTTTACTAATAAAATGAGATCTAGACCGGCAAAATCTAATTACAAGGAATCAGATTTGAAGTTTCCTTCTTTTTATATTTTTTCAGATCAACATTCATTTTTAAAAAAAAGAATTGGTAATTAGATTTTATTACTTTAAATTTTCTGTCTACTAAAATAAACAATTTTAAATCATAAAAATCAGATTAAATTGTGTTCTTTGCATGATATTCCCTTCCTTCCTACATGTAGAAGCTAAATACTCCTCATGTGCTTAATATAAGACATGTTTAATTAATTTGATTATATTAAGAAAGTTAAATAATTATAAGAAATATGACATGCCTTAACCCCTTTCTCTTCTACTTGATTATGATTGAGAGAGCATCCATAGGGTTAATTTAAGAAAAATTAATAAATATGAAAAATATGTCTTATATTTAGGACCAAAATCATGATATTCCCTTCCTTCCTGAATGTAGAAGTTAAATACTCTTCCGGTTCTTAATATGAGATCTATTTAACTAATTTGATTAGATTAAGGAAGTTAGGTAAATTAGATAATTATAAAAAATATGACATATTTTTCTTAAAACACCATAATTATCCTCTTTAATCCCTTTCTCTTCTACTTGATTATGCTTGAGGAAGTATCTATAGGGTAAATTTAAGAGAAACTGATAAATATGATAAATATGTTTTATATTTAAAATCAAAATCAACTCAATAATTAGGCCTTATATTAAGAACCGGAGAAGTAATTAATTTAAAGAGATTCATAAAATCAGTTAAGTCATTTATTCATTAAAAAATGTATGTTAGTTTTTCTCATATATTCTTGGATCCTTTCAATATCGAAACTATTCTTTTTATTGAAAACTCTTATTCAATATTGATATCTGGGTAAAAAAAATTGAAATTCAGGAGATAAAATAAATTGAGTGGTAAAATGCAGAATAAGTTGAGTGGGTGGAAAAAACAGAATCTATCGTTGGCAGGGAGACTTACTCTTGTGCAATCTGTGACAAACCAATTGACAAATTTTCATATGCAGCACTCCTTTATACCTGTAGGTGTGAAGAAACAATTGGAAAAATTGCAGAGAGACTTTATTTGGAATAGTGATGAGGAAAGAAGAAAAATTCATGCTATTGGTTGGGATTTATTGGGTACAAGCAAGGAGAAAGGGGGGTATGGCTTAAAAGATTTGGGTGTAATGAATGATGCTCTTTTAGGCAGAGTAGGATGGAATTTAGTTGCAAAGCAGAGTAACCTGTGCTCTATGGTTTTAATAGGGAAGTATAGTAGACGTATGACCCTAATTGATGAACGTAGTGTCAAAAACACAGATTCTGAGGTTTGGAAAAATGTGGCTCGTCTATGACCCCAAGTGAATCAATTTGTGTGCTAGGAAGTGGGAAATGGTGAGAAAATCAGATTTTGGAGGGACTATTGGGTTGATAAAGGAGTTAAACTAGAAGATGAATGTACAGTCCAGGTTGACAATATAAATCTGGATTGTAGAGTTAAGGATATGGTGCATAATAATGGACAATGGGACTATGCAAAGCTGGACATGTGTGTTTCGGAAAAAGGGAGGAACATCATACGTGCTGTACCACCTCCTAATGCTGATTATGGAGATGATGTAATTAGATGGGGGTCAACATTACAAAACAAGTACAGTGTGGCTGACATGTACAACTTACTGAAGAAGGAGGATGGTGAGGTGGATGTGTTGTGGAGGAAGATTTGGCACTGGAAGGGGCCTAGAAGAGTTCAAGTGTTCCTGTGGGTGGCTAGTCACAATCGGTTGTTTACTGCAGAAAGGAGAAGCAGGCTAATGGGAGGTAATGCTTTATGTTACAAATGTAATGTGGAACCTGAAACTAGTATGCATGTTCTGCGGGATTGTACTTGTGCTAAAGAGCTATGGGGACAGTTAGGAGAGAGTAATTACAACTCAAGTTTTTACCTACTGAAGGATAAAGAATGGTTCAGATGGTGTTTGAGCAATAAAGATG